CTCCTCGCTCCTACGCTTTTGCTTTTTCCCCTTTTCCCTTTCCCCGTCGCGGTGTGCGCACATGGCGGGGGTCAGTTCCCCCGAGGACCGCATGCGCCACCTCGTTGCTCGGGACCCTTCCGCGGCCTTCGTTCCGCCGTCGCTCGCCTCTTCCGCCTCCGCCACCTTGCGCTGCCCGCAATGCGCCGCGCCGATATCCGTCCCACAGTCCACAGTAAGCCGCTTCGTCCACCGACACGAAATCGAGTGGATCAAATAAGGAGTATGACAGTTCTCCACTACTCCGAGGTCTGACAAAAACAGTTCGTGCAGCTTCCTTCGCCTTTTTTCGCCTCCCTGCTTTCTCTCTCTCCATTTCGTTTTCTCTGCCCGTTTCTCCCCTCCCCCCCTCCCCCCTCGCGTCATGCTTCCCCTTCATCAGCCCCTTCGTTGCCTCCGATTCTTTCAAGCCCTCACAACCGCGCAACAGGCGATCTGTGAGGCGTTAAAGAAATAAGGATCGCGTCATTCTTTCCCCCTCATCTCCCCTTCCTTCTGCCGCTTCTTTCAATCACCTAGGCCCGCGCAACAGGCGCGGATGGCGCAGCAGTAGGCGCCCCAGGCCATGGGGGAGCTTCCGCGCGCACATGGGGAGGCGGAGCGGGGGGAGGCGGAGGGATCAGCGGAGGCGGATGGCGCATGGCGCCCTTTATGCGGGATAGCCTTGCCACGGTGAGGGGGGGGGGTGTGGGATTAGTATGGGGAAGAGTGCCATGGGGGGGGGAAGGGAGAAACGGGATTGAAAATTGGGGGAAATGGGAGATATGGTGCGGGGAGAAAGGAGTGGGTGGAGGCGCAGGGATGAGCGGAGGGGAATGGCGCATGGCGCCTTTTATGCGTGATAGCCTTGCCACGGTGGGATGGGGAGGGTGGGATGGGGGGCGGGGGGGAAGAGAGGGGGGGGGCATTGTACATAGTGCATGGCGCATGGCGCCTTGTATGCACGATAGCCTTGCCACGGTGGGATGGGAGAGTGGGATGGGGTGGGGGAGAGGAGTGGAGGAGCAATGGGAGGAAGAGACGGGAGGATAGGGGAGGAACCATCGCGTCCACATCACATCATACATGCATGCACGCTTGTTGCATTGCATCTCCCCACCACCATCCCTCGTCCGTCCATCCTGCTTGCTGCCTACCTACCTACCCGCCTGCTTCATGCATTGCACCCCACTCTCTTTCTCTCTGCAACCCCATCAGCTCGTCACGGCCATGGGAGGAACCATCACATCCGCATTACATCCCACATGCACCCTTCTTGCATCGCCTCACCACCACAACCTTCCTCCTTGTTGGCCATGGGAGGAACCATCCTTCTTCTCTTCCCACCTCCACCCCTCCTGTATCCTGTTTCTTGCCTGCTGGTCACTGTGTTATCCTGATCCCCCATCAGCTCGGCACAGCCATGGGAGGAACTATTGCATCCGTCTATGCTTTCAACGCAGGTAAATGCCATTGTCTATGCTTGCCCTTGGTTGCCTTTCGTCTCTTCCCCTCTGCCTTCTCCTCATCGGCCTCTTCCTCTTCCTCTTCCTCCACATTCCTATACCTCCGCAACTCCACATGCCCATGTCTCCTCTCCTCTCCGCAGCAACCCGTCGTCTCTCTCTTTGCTCCCCTCCCCATCATATGACCTAACCTCACTAGTGGTGACGCCATACCTCATCCCACCCCCATTCTTATTCCCATGCCTCCGCAACTCCACATGCCCATGTCTCCTCTCCTCTCCCAAGCAACCCGTCGTCTCTCCCGTTGCTCCCCATCATATCATATGACCTCACTAGTGACGCCACACCTCATCCCATCCCCTTTGAATCCCGCAACAAGGTTGTCGCCTGTTGTCTCTCCCTACGCTCCCCATCAAATGACCTAACCTCACTAGTGACGCCACACCTCATCCCATCCCCTTTGAATCCCGCAACAAGGTTGTCGCCTGTTGTCTCTCCCTACGCTCCCCATCAAATGACCTAACCTCACTAGTGACACCACACCTAAGAAACATCCAAGAAACAAGGATCGCACATCTAAGGAACAAGGATCGCACATCTAAGAAACAAGGATCGCACATCTAAGAAACAAGGATCGCACATCTAAGAAACAAGGATCGCACATCTAAGAAACAAGGATCGCACATCTAAGAAACAAGGATCGCACATCTAAGGAACAAGGATCGCACATCTAAGGAACAAGGATCGCACATCTAAGGAACAAGGATCGCACATCTAAGGAACAAGGATCGCACATCTAAGAAACAAGGATCGCACATCTAAGAAACAAGGATCGCACATCTAAGAAACAAGGATCGCACATCTAAGGAACAAGGATCGCACATCTAAGAAACAAGGATCGCACATCTAAGGAACAAGGATCGCACATCTAAGGAACAAGGATCGCACATCTAAGAAACAAGGATCGCACATCTAAGAAACAAGGATCGCACATCTAAGAAACAAGGATCGCACATCTAAGGAACAAGGATCGCACATCTAAGGAACAAGGATCGCACATCTAAGGAACAAGGTGTTAAAATTAGAAGAGAGAAGATGACTGCACTAGCAAGAATGGGGATACAAATAAGAAACCTTAGAAGGGTTGTACTCGCTATAGAGCACCCCACTACAGGCTAAAGCATAAGATAACATTCTGACACACCCCCATAGCCAAAATGGGGTGTAATCAGCAGAGCAAGCAAAGCAGTACAAGCTCAGGGTGGATCACAATGTCACCACACATTCTGAGCACAAGTTCAAGAAGCAATAATTAAAGTTCACAATTATGAGCAAAGCTAGTGGTAGTCACAACGGGCAAGTGAGGAGGAAGAGAGAGAGTGAGAGGAGAGGAGATAGGAGGCGACGGATGAAGCTGCAGACACACGGGCAACAGGAGGCACACTGGCACAGCGGCTACCGGAACAACGCTCCGGAATACTGGAGTAACTGGCCCCGCGGCTAAAGTAGCGGCAGACGAGCAACGGACCCACGGGCGGCTGGCACAGCTGGCTACGACTGGGCTACCGGACGAAGTCCCCGGAATACAGGTGCTGCTGGCGACACGACGACAACCTCCATTGAGCTACCCCAAACTATCCCACTCCCTCTGGCACACACCCACTGCTACACCGCTAGCTTCACTCCCCCTTCACCCCCCCTTAGTACCACTCCACCGGCTCCAACACGTCCACCCCCCCTCAGCGACAGCTGCAGCACAGGGAGACGGAGGAGGAGGAGGAGCAGGGGAGACCACACACCCGCCACCCCCACGCGGCCCCCTCAGGTCGTCTCGACTAGCGACGGGAAAAAAGGAGGGGGGGGCGGTGCACTTGCCGTAGGTAGGGCGACGGGGCCGGGCCGTAGGTAGGGCGACGGGGCCGGTACGCAGGTAGGGCAGTGGGGCCGGGGCGCAGGTAGGGCGACGGGGCCGGGGTCGGAGGTGGGGCGACGGGGCCAGGGTCGCAAGAAGGGCGACGGGGCCGGGGCCGGGGCGCAGGTAGGGCGACGGGGCGGGGGCCGTAGGTAGGGCGACGGGGTGCGACGCGCGGGTCCCCGTCGCCCGTCGCAGCGCCTCCCGGGGGCGACGCGCCGAGTGATGGGGAGCGACGCGCGGGTCCCCGTCGCCCGTCGCAGCGCCTCCCGGGGGCGACGCGCCGAGTGACGGGGCAGAAACCCGTCGCGCGCCTCGGGGCGCACGGCGGGCAGAAAACCGCCGCGCGCCTCGGGGCGCACGGCGGGCAGAAAAAACTGCCGCACGCCACGGGGCGTGCGGCACAGAGAGTAGCAGTGGCAGTTGCAGCGGAAGCAACGAGGTGGTGAGCCCACCCACAGGATCGATCCAAGGGGATCGACCTGCTCTGATAGCATGTTAAAATTAGAAGAGAGAAGAGTACTGCACTAGCAAGAATGGGGATACAAATAGGAAACCCTAGAAGGGTTGTACTCGCTATAAAGCACCCCACTACAGGCTAGAGAATAAGATAACATTCTGACACAAGGATCGCACATCTAAGAAACAAGGATCGCACATCTAAGAAACAAGGATCGCACATCTAAGAAACAAGGATCGCACATCTAAGAAACAAGGATCGCACATATAAAAAACAAGGATCGCACATCTAAGAAACAAGGATCGCACATCTAAGAAACAAGGATCGCACATCTAAGAAACAAGGATCGCACATCTAAGAAACAAGGATCGCACATCTAAGAAACAAGGATCGCACATCTAAGAAACAAGGATCGCACATCTAAGAAACAAGGATCGCACATCTAAGAAACAAGGATCGCACATCTAAGAAACAAGGATCGCACATCTAAGAAACAAGGGTCGCACATCTAAGAAACAAGGGTCGCACATCTAAGAAACAAGGGTCGCACATCTAAGAAACAAGGATCGCACATCTAAGAAACAAGGATCGCACATCTAAGAAACAAGGATCGCACATCTAAGAAACAAGGATCGCACATCTAAGAAACAAGGATCGCACATCTAAGGAACAAGGATCGCACATCTAAGAAACAAGGATCGCACATCTAAGAAACAAGGATCGCACATCTAAGAAACAAGGATCGCACATCTAAGAAACAAGGATCGCACATCTAAGAAAGGATCGCACATCTAAGAAAGCGCATTTCACGATCCAACCAGGATGCACTTTCAATCCACTCAACACACTCCCTTTTCTTATCCTCCCCCTCTCTCTCGCCCTCCCTCTCCCCCTCTCTCTCGCCCTCCCTCTTCCCAATCCTCCCCCTCCTCCTCGCCCTCCCTCTTCTTAATCCCCTTTCCCTCTGCTCCTCCCGTTTGAATGAAACAACAGTGATGCCTCGGTTGGGAAAGCGCATCCCAGGATCAAGGGGACTGCAATATCTTTTGGGGGTGAGAGTGGAGGCATATGGGTGAATGAAGGGGTGAGAGTGGAGGCATATGGGTGAATGACGGGGTGAGAGTGGAGGCATATGGGTGAGTGAATGAAGGGGTGAGAGTTTAGGTGCTGAGAGTGTGTATGTGCTGTGGCTGTTCTGAGGACGCTTCTGGTGCCGCGGCTGGGCGAGCGTATTCCAGGATCCAGGGGACTGCAATACCTAGCGCGGGTGAGAGTGGTGGCTGGATAGTGAATGAGAGTGTGAGGGAAGGGGTGAGAAGGAACGGGTGCAAGGGAAGGGGTGAGAGGGAAGGGGTGAGAGTGAATGAAAAGGAAGGGGGAGGGCGAAAGGGAAGGGGTGGGAGAGAAGGGGTGGGAGGGCCGGGTAGGAGGGACGGGGTAAGATCGAAGGGGTGAGAGTGAAGGGGTGAGAGTGAAGGGGTGAGAGTGAAGGTGTGAGAGTGAAGGAGTGGAGGAGTAGAGAGAGTGTAGGGTGCCTTTCTTGAGTCAAGTTGGGCAAAAAAAATTCCAGTTGACTTGCACCACCCTTGTTCCCTCACCCTCCCCTCACTTGTGTGCTCATCTTTTACGTTGCAAGCTGCACCTCTCTCCCTCCCACTCTAATTTCTCGTCCCACTGCTGCTCTTTCCTTCTCTACTCCTCCCTTCCACTCGTTTCCGAATTCTTCTCCTTCACTTAATTCGTTCCCTCTCCCCGCTCCCCTCTCCTACTCTTCTCCCCTCCCTGCTGCTCTCTTCCCACGCAGGTTCCGCCAGTGGCAGCGGCTGCGGCAGCAGGTGCAGGAGTGGGAGGTGAGTGCCTGCCTGCAGTCTCCCTCCTCACTTTGTGAGGCGCCTATAAGAATTTGCAAGACATGCGTGAGTGTTTGAGACTGCTGAAAGAGTGGCAGTGGCTGGCTGCGGCAGCAGGTGCAGGAGTGGGAGGTGAGGTGAGTGCCTGCCGTCCCCCTCGTTTTGTGAGGCGCCTATGGAAAACTGCGACACATGATTGTATGCTTAAGGCTTCTGAAAAATTGGCAGTGACAGCAGCTGCAGAATTTTTTGAGAATTTAAAAACCAATTTTGCAGAAGTGGGATGCAAGTGCCTGCTGTCTCTCTCGTTTCTTGAGACATGAGATGTTTTTTTCTTTTAGATAAGATACTTGTTGCGGCGATTCTTGTGGTGCCTTAATTACTGGCAGTGGCTGCCGCAGTAGGTGTGGGGTTGGGAGATTCGTGCCTGCACTCTTCTTTTACTCTTTCTCTCCCCTCTCTACTTCCCTTGCCCCCCTCTCTTCGCTCTACTCTTTCTGAAACCTTCCTCTTATCCTCGCTCGCTCCTTCTCCTCCCTCTTGGACTGTGTACCATTTTACATTCTTTTTTGTGCTGATCCATCCCGTTGCCTCTTCGCACTCTATTTTTGAGGCACTTCAAATCAAAACATGAGACAACATTTGAGGCGCCACAAAAGTCGCCCCTTATCCCCCCCCTTGGACTGTGTACCAGTTGACAACCCTTTTGTGCTGATCCATCTCTTTGCCTGCCCGCACTCTACTTCACATTGTGCTCTCACCCTGTTCCTCTGTCCTCCCTTCCTCCCTCTCTCTCCCCACCAGCCGGCACCCTCCCTGCACTCATCCAGCTCTGCATGTCAGCATACTATGTCACATCCGCGTCAACACACGCTGCTGTCAGTGTGGCAGAGCAAAGGGTCATGGCTAATGCTAGTGGTGCTGCTGGTGGTGCTGCTGGTGGTGCTGCTGCTGCTGGTGCTAGTGGTGGCGCTGCCTCAACGAGAGAAGAGGTGGGTCCTGCTTGTTAGTGGTCAGCATACTATGTCACGTCCGCATCAACACACGCTGCTGTCAGTGCAGCAGAGAAAAGGGTCATGGCTAATGCTAGTGGTGACACTGGTGGTGGTGCTGCTGCTAGTGGTGCTAGTGGGGCCGCTGCTTCAACGAGAGAAGAGGTGGGTGCTGCTTGATTGACTGGAGGCATTTGTCTTAACCATGCCATTCCATCTTGTCATGCCTACATGCCATGCCACCATGTCACCATGGCCCTGCTGCCCTCATGCATGCATTCATGCTCTCAGACGCCCTTCCCGGTGACCCTTTTTCTCTGTACCTCCCTCACTCTCTCCCCAATCAGTCTGATGCCCCTAAATGATCGTTTCACTTCACTCACTTGCCCCACTATCACAAGCGGCCTTTGTCCCCTTGTGAGTGCTCCCAGCCCTTTTCCTTGGCTTTTGATGCGCCTCAACAGCCCTTCACTTCAGTCACTCTCCACTGTCACAAGTGACCCCTGTATCTTTGTGAATGCTCTTACCCCATTTTTTAAATCGCTTGCATTGCACCACATTTAACCGCACTAAACATGGACATTAGAAAATTTCACCATGCAGTGCCGGGCTGATCTACATTGGTTTGTACCCGTTTGAATGTTTGAAGTGACGCTAATCCGTGTGGTGTGGGACGTGTGTGTGTGTGTGTGTGTTTGGGTGTGTGTGTGTGTGTGTGTGTGTGTGTGTGTGTGTGTGTTTGGGTGTGTGGGGTGTGGTGGGTTGCGTGCATGTGCATGTGCTCCCACTTGAATGTCGTGACGATTATTTGTGTGGTGTGGGACGGGTGTGTGTGTGTGTTTGGGGGTTTGGGAGGTGGTGGTGGGTTTGATGGGATGTGTGTGCCCCTGCAGAATATTTTTTCAAGGGGGCACTGTGGGATGTGGGGGTTGTGTGTGTCCCTGCATATATCTGGAAGATCATGGTGACACTGTCAAAGGCAAGAAGAGGGAGTCAGGCAACGCAGGAAACAACGCCGGTTTCACATTCTTGGAGAAGGGAAAAGGAATAGTTCATACAGATGATGGCAAAGGAGGTTCCGCATTGTTAAAGGCTGTCATCTCAGGCGAAGGTCATTACAGTAGTGAGGATGGAGAAGTTGATCTCGGTGTGCATGTACAGTAACATCAATAATTTTGGCATTGCTCATACAGTAATCTGTACAAGCATGCATAGAAATATAGGCTCTGCTTTGCACTGTCACATTAAGAAACAATTTATTTGAGAGCAGAAACATTGAAGCAAGTATGCAAAGTTTGTTCGGTTCCGTTTGATTTCCTACATGATATTTTGCAGTACCTGCGAACGTTTGCAGTATTTTCACTCTTACTAACACACAAAACACCCTTACAGGTTTTCAATCCAATTTATCAGGGAGGGACTAGATCAGTTCTCAGTTACCTGGTTGCTTCCTTCTCACAGCAAGCAAAGTTAGTACTTTCAAGAATTTCATGCCAACCTGCTAGGCTCGCATTAAAGGAGGGTACAAGGGGGATTAGATCAGTTCTGTTACCTGGCTGCTCCCCACTGCTCATCACTGCTGGATCAGTATTCATAAGCTTGATTCTCCCTCCTTGGACTATTCTTCCTCCATTGCTCCTAATCTCCAACCAGCACTGAAGCCAAGTCTAGGCTAGATTTGCCACAGCCAAGATCAGTACTCAGTTACCTACCTAGTTGATGCCCTCTCCTCGGACTATTCTTCCTCCATGCTCCTAACCTCCAACCAACACTGAAGCCACGTCTAGACTAGGCCTGGCTCAGCCAAGATTAATACTTGGTTACCTAGTTGCTCCCCACCGCTTCCCATTGCTAAATCAGTGGTCATCAACCTTTTTCCTCCCCCTTGTCCTTCTTTTCCACCATGCTCTCCACTGCTCCCCATTGCTCCCCACTCCTCCCCATTGCTCCCCACTCCTCCCCAGTCCTCCCCACTCCTCCCCACTGCTCCACATTGCAATATTAGTGACCCAACATCAGTACTCAGTTACGTGATTGCTCCTTCCTACACCCTGCTCCCCACTGTTCGCCACTGCTCCCCGTTGCTCTATCAGTCAGCCAAGACCAGTAATAGTACTCAGTTACCTGATTGCTCCTCCCCACTGCCCCCCACTCCCCCCCACTGCTCCCCACTGCTCCCCACTGCTCCCCACTGCTCCCCATTGCTCCCCACTGCTCCCCATTGCTCCCCACTGCTCCCCACTGCTCCCCATTGCCAGATCAGTATGCAGCAACCCAATTGCTCCTCGTTAGACGCCTCTTCCTCCATGCTCCCTGTAGCTCCAACACTGCAGCCAACTCTAGACTTGGCTGGGCCAACATCAGTACTCAGTTACCTGATTGCTCCTTCCCGAACATCACCATGTGCAACCAACTAGCACTTTAGCTGCTGCTCCACCTGATCCACCTGCTCCACCTGCTCCACCTGCTTCACCTGCTCCACTTGCTTCACCTGCACCTGTGTTTGGGTTATTCCAACAAGCTCTATCAACCTGATTGCTCTTTACCAGCTTCAAGCTATGCTATGTAGTCAGGACCAGACTTCACTAAATAGACTTGGCTGATTGCTCCCCATTGGACTCTTCTTCACCCATCCTCTCAATAGCCTCCAGGTCAGTATTCAAGTTACCCCGAAACGACATCCCAATCCCCATTTCCGCTGCTTCCTCATCCACCTTGACCGCCGCACTCAGCTCCTCCTCCCCCACCACCTCGTGCCCGATTCCCTGCAGCTCGTTGGCAATGTCTGCCATGCTGGGCCGGCTTGCAGTGCGCTCGATGGTGCAGGAGAGTGCAAGCTGGGCCAGGCGCAGCACAGCATCATCTGGGGCGTCCATGCCGAGATCCTTGAGGCGGGCTGGATGGTTGGATGAGATGCAGTCTTCCACCTAATGGGTTGAAGAATCCGTGCGAGTGGGGATGGGGACAGGGAGGGACAGGGACAGGGAAACGCGCAGCACAGCATCATCCGGGGCGTCCATGCCGAGATCCTTGAGGCGGGCTGGATGGTTGGATGAGATGCAGTCTTCCACCTAATGGGTTGAAGAATCAGTGCGAGTGGGGATGGGGACAGGGAGGGACAGGGACAGGGAGTGGCGCAGCACAGCATCATCTGGGGCGTCCATGCTCGGGTCCTTCAGGGAGGCCGGTTTCTTGGAGGAAATGCACTCCTCCACCTGATGGATTGGCAACAAGAGGGCGCATACGTACATTGTGGGATGGAAAGTGGGAGCGGGGAAAGCTTGAGGTTTCTGCTGTAGGGGAAGCTTGAGGACCCTGAGACTGCCAGGGTTATTGGCGGCGATGCATGGTGGATGGAACAAGGGTGGATGGGGATGGAAACGGGGAATGACACGATCAGCAGGAGAGGGTGGACATTCAATCCCGCAGGTGGTGATGTTTGAGGAGAGCTGCAGCGCTTATTTAACATGCAGCCTAGCTTCGAGGCGCCTCAAAACTTAACTCCTGAAGGTGGTGATGTGAAAGGAGAGCTGCCGCACGTATCAAACACGCAGCCTCAGGATGCAGGCACTTACTCACTCACAAAGACAAAGCACCTTCATGAAAATTCTCAAAAACTTACTCACTCACAACAAAGACGCAGCACAAAAGCAGCATGGTTATCCATCGTAGAACGTGGCCGCTCTACCCACGACCAGCATAGGCACTCGAACCATTTGCATGTCCCCACAGTGACTTCTCACTAACACGCAGCACAGGCAGCAGGCAAAACAAGCAGCAACGCTTACCCAATGCAGAATGTCGCCGTCCTTTTCACCCTCGACAGTTTGGGGGTTGCGACTGGTGAGCACCACAAGCATGAGCACACCGAAGCTGCACACATAGGGGAGGGAGGGCACAACAAAGTGGGGAGAGGTGGAGGGGGGGGAGGAAATGAATCACTATGAAGGGAGGTGTGTGGTTTACAAATGTATGCAACAATAAGTATAGTCTAAAATGTGAAGAAGACCTTGTAAGATATGGAATCTCGGATGGCGAGAGGAAAAGAAGCATTGAGAAAGTATCAAGACACATTCTAGCAAGGAAGTTTGGAAAACCTAACACTCAGGGTTTGTTTTATTTAGAATAAACACCGTTGAAATGAACCTAAACTGAACCCTGAAGTGTAAATTGTTTTAAACATGACGGAATGATAAGATAACACTATGATAAATATCAGAGCGAGCTCAAACCTATTCTAACATACAACTACACAACAACAACAATCACTCATTCACCTCAAACATTGGTAGCAATGGTTGCCTTAGTGTCTCAGAAGTAGCTCACCTGTACACATCGGTGGCAGTGGTGGCCTTGGACGTGCGTGAGTAGACAGGATCCACATAGCCCGGTGTTCCCATCACTCGAGTCGTGCCGACAGCGGCGCCCTCGCCCACCCTCAACAGGCCAAAGTCGGCAATCTTGGCATGTCAGGACAGAAAGGACAAGGGCATCATATTATCGCATTTGAGTTGATTACTATGGAGGGAACAATGGAATTATTAAGTATGCAGTTTAGAAAAAAGGAGTTCAAGGGCATGTTGGTGTGATGTGTGGAACGGTCATTAAGAATCACGGAGATTTAGTGAGTGTGACAATAAGTGCTCACTATAATGATCTAGTCAATGTGACCGTAAGGAGGGTTGGTGGTGTACGATCGTGGTTGGATGGTCCAACAACAGAAATCCTTCTTGTTCTCTCTCTCAACAAACCCTAACTCGTCTTGTACCGCGCACACAGGGACCCTTGGAGGTGACTACGGGGAGAGGTTTTAAGTAAGAATTAATTCTTAATATCCTGAGTTTGTCTTTCACCAACAAGCTGGTATGCTGGGTTCGCTTATAGTTATTCTCGCTATAAGTAGCGACGACGGAAAGGAATCGCGGAGCTAATCAGTATTCAGCCTTGATCGCAGCGAACAACCATGATTTTGGTGTTTCGGCGCCAAGAAGAGCGCCAATAAAATAAGGCTCGCTGATCAAGAACGGTGTTGAAGGACTTCACCGTCGAGTTCAATTGTGAGAGCTGTGATGATAAAACCAGGAAAACATAGCTTTATTTTCGTCAGGTTGTTTGCTAAAACTAATGATTGCGGAGGAGACTAGACCGAGTGACCCGGCGTTCTAAGAAGCATGTGATAATCGCGCATCGGCTGGCTACTACATGATGTTGCAGAATTTGGAACTAAACCAACGTCGCCACGTCATCCACCTGCCGGCAAAGGTTGATTGTGGTCCCAAGATGAGGAATGTGCCGAAGGAGTTGTATGCCTCGACCTCCGTTGCTGCGATGTTGATGATGGAGAGGAAGCTATCTCTTGCACCTGAGCGAAGGGGGCCAACGATGATCTTTTCCCCTGCCCAGACAAGCATCCAAGAAGTGTCCGACGGAAGCTCACTCAAGCGTCTAGCGTCTCAACGCTAGCGTCCTGGACCCTAGATGCGTCAGATCCAAAATACTAGTCACCGATACATGAGAACGGTTGAACGTCAACCATGTGCATGCACCCAAGAGCATTAAGACATGGATAGCATATCATACACTAGAGCGAGACCCTTGGACACTGGGGTGGCGCGTACACTGAAGAGATTGTGTTGCGCAGGGGATGACTTCGGATTATGCTTATCATTACAATGAGAAGTCATGTGTAAGTCTAACTAACAACCCGACCTAGGGTTGAGTCAAATCCAGCTTGGCCATAAAAAGTGTGGAGGGGCTGCGAACTCGTGGGACATGATCCGACCCGAGGTCAGGTCGACCCGACGGCTGTATTCGGCTCAGATCGGCCTGGATCACGACGACTAGATTTGTTGCTAAACTCATATATAAGCTTTAATTGTTTCTTAATATACTTAGTGCCACTGTTTCAACTTTATTGTCAATGCATATTTATGTGTGCTCGCTTTCTTGCCTGCATCTTTGCCCCAAGAAGGATGTTGGTGGGTTTGATGTCGCGATGTACAAGACCAAAGCTGTGGAGGTAACCCAAGCCACGTGCCACACCAATGAGGATGTCTAGCCGCTGCTGGAAGGAAAGAGAACATGATGCTTCTACACAGGTGCACACAATAAGAAAGGAAGGACACGAGAGTGGCAGGAATTGAATTGCACATTATAGATGACAAAAGTTGGGTGACACAATAAGACACTGTCAGATTTATATGAGGAGAATGAGGGTTACCGCTGTTTCCAGCCCGACCCGGGCATTCGTACTGCTGCGCTAGGTGCTTGTGAGGCTGCTGCTCTAGGTGCCAGTGCGTCTGCGCTCTCAGGTACTGGTGAGACTGCGCTCTCAGGTACTGAGTCGTCCTCGTCCTCCCTCACTTTCACACTTGACTCCGGAGCTTCTCGCTCCTTCTTTCGAGACCGCACTACCCTTACGCCGCTCGGCCGGCCTGTTGCAGTCTCCCTTGCTGACCCCTCTGGGGGTCCTGTCCTGTCTCACTTCTCCACTGTCCTCCCGTGTCCGGCTGCCCCTTCGGGCACCCTGTCGGGTCTGTACCTTCCCTCGTTCTCTACGAACTTGGTGAGTGGAGCGGACCTGCAGGATGTGGGTGTTCACCAGTTCACTCCTGCGAGTCAGCGGGTGACCCACTGCACGGAGGCACGCACAGGCCGACACCTGGCCACGTTCTCGCGTCGGCCGGGGTCGAGTCTCTACACCCTGACCGTTGAGTCTCCTCCTGTCCCTGCGTCTGGTCAGGTGGCTGCGTCGGGTCAGGTACTTGCTGCTGCGTCCCGGTCAGGTCCTGAGTCTGCCCCCTGTTCTTGTCGCCTCCTGTCTCACGAGACTCTCCTGTGGCACCACCGTCTTGGCCACCCCTCCTTGCCCCGTCTTCGGAGCATGGCTTCCCGTGTCCTTGTCTCTGGTCTTCCCCAGTCTCTCCCTCCTCTCCCCTCCGGGCCAGGACCTTCCTGTGTCCCCTGTGTCGAGGGTCGCCTCCGGGCTACTCCTCACTCCTCCCACTTCCCCCCGACAGAGGCTCCCCTGCAGACGCTTCACATGGATGTGTGGGGCCCAGCCCCCGTCCGTGGGCAGGGTTACGAGCGCTACTTCCTGTTGGTGGTTGACGACTACTCGCGTTACACCACAGTCCTCCCCTTGCGCAGCAAGGGTGCGGTCACTGAGGTGCTGATCGACTGGATCCGCGAGGCTCGTCTCCAGCTCAGGAAGAGCTTCGGCTCGGACTTTCCTGTTCTGCGTCTGCACTCTGACAGAGGCGGAGAGTTCTCTTCTCGCCTTCTGCGAGACTACTGTCGTGCACGGGGGATCCGCCAGACCTTCACGCTTCCGGACTCACCACAGCAAAATGGGATTGCTGAGCGCCGCATTGGCATGGTCATGGATGTCGCTCGTACGTCCATGATGCATGCGGCTGCCCCCCATTTTCTGTGGCCGTTTGCGGTTTGGTACGCGGCGCATCAGCTCAACCTTCACCCCCGGGTCTCTCGGCCTGCGATGTCCCCAGTCTTGCTGTGGACGGGGAAGGTTGGCGATGCGTCTGTGTTCCGTGTCTGGGGATCTCGGGCGTTTGTCCGCGACTTGTCTGCGGACAAGCTGTCCCCTCGTGCTGCTCCCTGTGTCTTCCTTGGCTTCCCCACTGATGCCCCAGGGTGGCAGTTTTACCACCCCTCCTCTCGTCGTGTTCTGTCCTCCCAGGACGTCACGTTCAACGAGTCAGTCCCCTTCTACCGTCTCTTCCCCTACCGCACTCCTTCCCTCCCCCCTCCCCCGGACTTCCTTGTGCCGGTTCCCCCCCCGGTAGACCCCCTCCCCCCTCAGGTTCCTGCCCCCTCAGGTGTGTCCCAGGTAGACGCCTATGACCCGGTCGAGGTTACTGGTGACTCTGGTGCTGCTGCGGGTGCTGAGCCTGGGGGTGCTGACTCTGGGGGTACTGTGCGCGGGGGTGCTGAGCCTGGGGGTGCTACTGCTGGGGGTGCTGGGCCTGAGGGTGCTACTGCGGTGGGTGCGGAGCCTGGGGGTGCTGAGCCGGGGGGTGCTGTGCCTGGAGGTGCTGGGTCTGGGGGTGCTGGGTCGGGAGCTGCTGAGCCTGGGGGTGCTGAGCTGGGAGCTGCTGAGCCTGGGGGTGCTGCGTCTGGAGCTGCTGAGCCTGGGGTTTCTCCTGCTGCTGCGTCTCGCCGGGAGCCCCTCTCTCCACAGGAGCTGCGCGAGTGGTTCGCTCGCCGCTGGAGGCGTGCTGCTGAGTCTGGA